TAGCCAGGTGTGGTGGCGGGTGCCTAAAATCCCAGCTACTCGGTAGGCTGATGCAGGGAGAATTGCTTGAACCCAGGAGGTGGAGGTTGCAGTGAGCTGAGATTGCACCACTGCACTCCAGCCTGGGCGACAGAGTGAGACCCTGTCAAAAAAAAAAAAAAAGACAAATATTTATATCTTATAGTTTCTGAGTATGAATAATCTGGAAGAAGCTTAGCTGGGTGGTTCTAGCTTAGAGTCTCTCATCAGGCTGCAGTCAAGGTGTTGGCTGAGGATGCCATCATCTGAAGGCTTGAAGAGGGCTCGAGAACATGCTCTCAGGATGTTTCCTTCACATGGCTATTGGCTGGAACTCTCAGTTCTGCTGTTCAAGAAAAGAGGCCTTCATTTCTCAACAAATGGGCCTCTGCATAGGACTGCTTGAATGTCCTTACCACATGGCAATTGGCTTACCCCAGGGTGAGTAATTCCATGAGAACAAGATAGAAAATTCATTGTATTTTATGACCTCGCTTTGGAAGGTTCACAGCACTATTTCTATAGTATAACTAAGAAACATTTAAGTTGTTTCTCCTTTTTACCAAGACAAAAAAGTCTGATAATTTGAGGGATGGATATTATCACTCTTTTCATATTTCCTTTTATGATAGTACATTAGGCAGGGTCTAAACTAAATAGGTCACACAATTTGGGGGTGCAATTATAAAACTATAATTCCTCTAGAAATGAATATATTAAGAGTGTCTATCAGACGACAAAAGAGCTTATTGTTGATAAAAAACACCTTTTTTTAATCTTGATTGTTGTGGTTTCTATACACCGGAAAACAGAGCTGTTTTACACTCTCTCTATCCACTACCAGGTGCAAAACTTTTATTCACTGAATTTGTAATTATCATGTTTTGTTTCTAAGGGCATCTGTTTGAAAACCGGGATAAGAGTTTTTCCGGTAGAAGTCTTCCCCTCTTAATAGTACTAACTTTTATTTAGCCTTTACTTTGGTGCCAGGCTATCTGCTAAATACTTTGTAAGCATTATTTCATTCAAATCTCTTAACAATTTATGTGTATGAACCATTTTTCAAACAACAACAAAAAAATGAATCTTAGAAAGTTAAGCACTTACCCAGAATCTCACAGCTAGTAATGAAGCAACTGGGGTACTGACAACATGGATCTGACTCCAGGGCCCAAACTGGTGATTACTGCCTGATATGGTTTGGCTGTGTCCCCACCCAACCCTTACCTTGAACTGTAATAATCCCCACCTGTCAAGGGTGGGGGCCATAATTGAAGGTGGAAACAAAAGAATCATGGGGGCAGTGTTCCCCATATTGTTCTTTTTATAGTGAATAAGTCTCACCAGATCCGATGGTTTTAAAAGTGGAAGTTCCCCTGCATAAGATCCCCCATCTGACGCCATGTAAGATGTGCCTTTGCTTCTCCTTTGCCTTCCACCATGATTGTGAAGCCTTCCCAGCCATATGGAATTGTGAATCCATTAAATCTCTTTCTTTTATAAATTACCCAGTCTCGGGTATTTCTTCATGGCTCTATGAAAATGGACTAATACATTACCCCATTCTGCTTCTCAGTATCAATACCATGAAATGTGCCTAAAGTCGAGAGTATTTGAAGACATTCATAATACGTAACAACTGTAGGAGGTCTTAAATTTCAGAATAATTTAAAGCTTCTTTATCATCTGTTTTGCTTTGGCAATGAAGTTTGTCAATGTCAACATTTTCAAGGACAGATTACTGCATGCAGGAAAGATTATTCAGACTTTTACTTTAGCTAAAAATATGTTTGAATTATTAGACTTAAAATTCGAAAGCTTAGCTATTCAAAATCTTGTATTTATATGTCTAGCAAATGTAGCAATCACTTTTATGAGGTCTTTGATTAACGTTTAGTTCCATTTACAAACTAGTTAATTAAACTCCTTTAAACATTTTACACCAAATTTATAAATTAAATGTATTTGATTTCTTATTTAGATACTTCAAATGTGTGATTTAAAAGTAAAATTTTCCAGAACATTTAAAATACCTCTAATGCTTCTAATAAATTAAACCTGGAAATATTATGAACCTTAAGTTATCTTAAATGTTTTAATACTATATAAACTTACTGCAATGACTATACAAGCTAAATAAAATTTCAACTTCAATTCACAGGCCTAAGTCAATTACTTCTTTATACATTTAAAATTGAATCACACATTTCCCCTGTTCTCTAATGACTAAAATATCTTAAACATTATAAATACCCAAAAGTCAAGTATGCTTCCTTAATATATACTCATATTAATACTGTGTTTGATTTTCTTAACTAGTTTTATAATCAAAACTTCCAAGCTAAGAAAATGATTGTCTACTAGGGAAACAATTATAATATCCTAAGCAGTGTTAGGGCATGTTTTCCTAAGTAGTCAAGAGTGAATATCAAGAGACAGGGGTTAGGGTGGTGAATGAATTATTTCTAGTGACCCAGAGAGATGCATAGAGCCCTATTCATAGTTGCTATACCTCATGGGCACCTAAATTAAAAGAAAAAAAAGAGTTTGGTCTCATAATTTAAGTAATCTTAACCTTGAGCTGCTCAAGAAATTCTGTTGCCCCCCACCTAACTTGCTGTTTCATTTATTTGTATTTCTTTTGATCTTAAGTTATTTGTACACTCTTTTGTCTAGTCCTGTAGACTTTTCAACTTGACAGAATTCTCAGTTGCTTAGTATTCTTTCTACTTGGTAATCATACAGATTAAAACAAGAGCCGTTTCAATCTCTCATGCCTTTTTTTGACAATGGGCCACAGCCATCAAAACCAACCAGCCAACATGCTCTATTTAGGGTAGTGGTTATTAAGTGAAATGACTCACACAACTCATATCATAGTGCCTAGAATATAGTATGTGCTCAGTAAATACTAGTAACTATTACTAATTCTGCTAGTACAATAGCTACTATGGTTGTTACTGGGAACTATTACAAAACACTGTAAAAATATTTAATTTTGGTTACAGGGCTATGGAAAAGTTTCCTCTTAAGGTGTACTCATGTTTTATTTATGGAAACAAAACTGTGAGGAGGGATGTGTGTGTGTATGTGTGTTTATGTGTGTGTGTATGTGCACTTGTGCATGTGTAGTTACACTCCCCAAAACAGATGTATCAATTTAACTGGTCATTGGTGATAGCAGTCAAGAAGTGACAGCAGAAGATGTCAGAAGGGAGAAGAGAAGTAGCTATAAGCTACGAGATGGAGATTTTCCAGAAAGGAAAAGTATAAAGCTACAGATTCTATAATAGCCCAGGGATCTTCTTTTAACTAGGGAGGCATCTGATAGCACTGCCCTTTTAGAACAGTTCATGATCCAGTGTTCAGAATCCAGCATTCCAGTTCTAAGAGGCCAGTAGTGATAGAAAGCAGTGGTTTCTTGGAGGGCAGGAATGAGGAAGGGATGGGTAAGCGGGTACAAAGGGGCACACGGAAATTTTGAGGGGTGAATACGTTGATTATCTTGTGAAGTTTTCACAGGTCTATTCATATGTCAAAATGGATCAAATTGTACACTTTAAATATATAAAGTATATGCATTAAAATAAATACATGCAGTTGATAAGTCAGTTATAATACAACAATGCTGTTTTTGAAAAAATCTAATTTTAAAAAACTAAACAAATCACATCAAATACTTAGAAATTTTAAGATTTAAACATTATATAAGTCAAGGTATTATTTTGTGGCAGTCATGAACCTCAATTTGCACAGGTATCTGAGTAGAGAAGGTCAGAGTTTCTCTGCTGAAGAATTCATAGTAAAAGACTATGAGGCCTGGCCAGCCAGAGCTCTGAGGACTAACCCCTTACACAGTCACAGGGATTGGCCAAGGTATAGCATACGAAGGAAAAATTATATAAATTTTCTTTCTTTTTTTCCTTGATGATGTATACAAGTAGTTTCTGTACCACTGTTTGTTTGTTTGATTTTTTTGAGGCAAACTCTCACTCTGTTGCCCAGGCTGGAGTGCAGTGGTGCGATCTTGGCTCACTGCAACCTCTGCCTCCTGGGTTCAAGCAATTCTCCTTCCTCAGCCTCCCAAGTAGCTGAGATTACAGGCATGTGCTACCACACCTGGCTAAGTTTTTTTTATTTTTAGTAGAGACAGGATTTCACTGTGTTAGCCAGAAAGGTCTCAATCTTCTGACCTTGTGATTAGCCTGCCTCAGCCTCCCAAAGTGCTGGGATTACAGGCATGAGCCACTGCGATCAATATCTGTACCACTTTTTACCTGAGCATTGAGCATCCTGGACTGGTGACTGGTATTTATCCTTTTCTTTTATTTCCTCTCGTTTTCCATTTTCATCTTCCAGGAGATTTTCTTATCTTTATCTTTTAACTTTTCTGTTGAATTTAAACATTTTTTTCTATTATAATTTTATTTTCCAAGGCTCATGTTTCCTCTGTGTTCCTTAAAAACAAGCCCTCTTTCCTTTTTCACAATAATAGTAGTTTCCTTGTATTGCTAATGATTATGATTCATAGTGATGTCTTTTTCTTTTCAACTTCTCTCCTTTCATTGTCTCTGTTCTCCAAGTAGTGTTCATTTCTGATTGTTTTGGATTTCACTTTATAATTTTTCATTGTCTGATCCTTGATACTTTATATTTAAGAAATATATATATAAGAAACACACATATTTCATATATATATATATATATATATATATATTTAAAGGCTGGTTGGAAGTTCATGTTGTGAGATTAACTGACTGAAGTATTTACTACAGAAGATATGGTAAGGACATTTATTTAAAGAACCTCAAATGTTGTATTCTTTGTCCCTTTGGGGGAGATCCATTCCCCAGTCCTCTACTTAGGCTGAAAGCCTGATTACCTATGTTCTGGAAACCACAAAAGTAATTGGATCCCCAATTTCATGGATCATATGCAGACATTCATATATGCTTTCTTTTTCTTCTTTCTTTTTTTAACCAGGAGAGAATGCAATGCAGTTCCCCCACTACCACAAATTATGCAGACAAATTTCCCAAATGTGTGTAAATCACAGGGTCAACATATCTGAAATGCAACATTTAAGCCTCGCCCTAGGGAAACCACCTTTGTGATAAGGATATCTTCCCTGCCAGGTAAATATGCACATATGCTTTCTAAGTTCAGCATATAGAACCCCTGACCTTAACCCTTACTCCCGGTACAGAGAGCCTCTGCTTTATTACCTCCAGGGAATGGAACTTTATTCTTTCATTGAGCTGAGAGGGGAGCAGATGTCCAGCTGTGTGAGGTATGGAAGGGGCTCTGACTACTAGACTTTAAATCAATCCTCCTTCTCAGAGTCTCTTTCCCCTTTTCCCTGTTTCTACAGAGGCTGAGGCTTTTGGAGGATTCTGCAACACAAAACATGGTTGGATTTTAGCTTCCTCTGTTGCTAGTTTATAATTCCATCTTTTTTCGGGTCTGCAAACTCCTTTACCAATTGTTCATTTGTTTTCCAATCTCCAAAATGTTCCTGTTGTCTCCTCCCCAAGTCACCCCTTACTTGGGTGTATACCTTAAGAAATGTCTTTTCTGATGATTAGGTCTAGTTTCAGAATAGAGCGATGTTAACTGTGGAAGGATGTTAGCTTTTTTATATTTGTGCACATGGTCCTGGTCTGCCTCCTGTGGTTCTTAACCATGGTGGAAGTCCCATAAGTAGGCACCTGTGGCAGACTGTGACCAGCTGAACTACAGAACAAATAAGAAGGTTTGAGTGCAACCCTCCTATTACAAGAAGACAAAGTTTTTAGATTATATATTTTTCTGGCCTTTACTTAAAGAATATGGATAAGAGAAAGGGCAAGATTATATCTTAGCAATAATTAAAAGTAGCAAAAAGTCAAAGTAAAATTTCTCGTTTTTTGTAGAAAAATTTATCTAATCTATAAATAGATAGGATAGATATGCTTACTTTGTATAATGGGGCTGGTAAGATTAAAAATATAATTTTTTCTTGGAGTGGTATCCCAGAGCTGTCCTCTAGCTACATTCTTGCCTGATGCACTTTCCTGTGTTTATGGTGAAAACACAGATGTTTTGGTGTATAAACCTGGATGCATATCTATAATAGTATCAATATACGTTATATGATTAGATGGCTCTTCTGTACTATTTGGGTGTGTTACCATTATAGAACTATTTACTTCTCACTAAAGACCACAGATTCTAAAACTTAATTCAACTGATCAATGCCTCTGGCTAACCAACATTTTGGTTCATTTCCAGTGGCTTTGAAATTATTGCAAATTAATTACCAATTTGTCTCAAGCGATGATTCATTGTAAAGTACTTAAAACCAGTAAACACAGAAAAGACCTGCCATTTAGTACAGAGGTGTCTCTGGAGCTTCTTAGCACTATGAATTGTGCGAATTTATGTGGATGAACCAAATGAGGTTGTTTATGAGAAACTTGTTCTCAAAGTTCATAAAGGCTTTAAGGCTGGAACTTGGATGCTGATGGCAAATGCGCAAGTAGATGTAAATGTAATTCAACCATTAAAATCGAAAACCATAAAAGCAAGGAAATTCACAGTTAAAGGAGGAAATGAGTTGTGCAGCGCTTTCTCCAGCCGTGATGCACAATGGGGTGTATTAAGGAACAGGAGACGCCCCATAGCGTGAGGCGTTCAAGGCATCTTTCATGTTTCATCCCTAACAGATTTCTGAGCACTTATGGACTCAAATATTGCTTGTAAAGTACCCTCTTTTGGGAGGAGCCTAGAAAGGAAATAAACTTCTTTGTTTTTCCTTCATTATTACCATGCAACCAGGGATAGAGGTAGGAGGGTGGATTCACAAGGCACAAAAGAATTTTGGGCTGGTAATCTGAAACATCGATGTTCTGGCTGAATCTTCCTGTAGGATTTCATGCTTTCATGATGCCTGTGTGAGGACCTCAGTTCAAGCAAAACTACAGAACAGAGACTTAGTGTAGCCCTGCATGCTCTGTTCAACTTAGATGTACAGAAATTTGATTTTTTTTTATCAACATGAGAGCTATTTGGAACAATGGAAAATTGTTTTCCATTTCTACTTCTCTCAACTATAGAAAAATAAAATTTCTATTTTGCTTTCTGTGGAAGGCTGGTTGGTGATGAATAGAAAAATCTTAGAAATGATCTAGCTTGCATACATTTTGTGGTTTCAAAAAACCTCTTATTTTAAATATACATTTAAAAAATGTCTTAATCTTCAAAAGTGACATGCTTTTTAGATGACTCAGTAAATCTAATAGCTCACCTGGGGGAAGAGTAATCTTGCAACGTGCAGCCTATAAGGAAGTCTTTCCATTGCCTGAAAATGTAAGGCTGTTGGGAAGGTGTCAACTGCTTTCTAGAGAAATGAATGCGAGTGTGTGGTCTGTTTTTTTGTTTTAAACAAAATTTCATCATACAAGCTTGTGTAATCCACATGTGAATTTGAAATTAATCAGGATAAGAGGGCCTAAAGTGCAGGGAGAAAGATGGTTGAAATGGCCAATGATGAACCAGGTATATGATTGATGTCATGTAAATAGCCACCTTTCTTATAAGACAAGGAACCTGTATTGGCACCACCATGATATAAAAAACCTGTGGCCATATGCATTTAAAGTCTTAAAAATGACTCCACCCCTATCATCTACACCAAAAGAAAAATGTTTATAATAATACATATATTGACTTCTGCTTTCTAGTCAATAACAAGATTTATTGTCCCACTCTTCAGTCAATTTTAACCTCTTTGGGTCAACAAATCTTGATATTGATCTCAACAGAAGTCAATACCTGCTTATTACTTACCTCCACATTTAGACGCCTACCAACAATTCTTATGGGCATTCCTTTGACACAGAAAAGTGAATGCTGGCTGTCCACTTTCTACACAAGATGTATTTCTGTGGGCTTCATATATAATGTCATTTTTATAAGTCTAAATTCAGATCTAGTTATAAAACTCAATGAGGAATAAAGATAGATGGTTTCTAATATCTGTAATTATAAACTAGACGAGGCTTAGTACTCCCTTATCATTTCCTAAATAATAAAATCATGATCTTTTATATTAATTATGCTCTAGTCATTTCCTACATCAAAGATAATTAGGCAACATGATATTTTTCATTCACCAAAGAGTGAACACAATAAATACTTTTAACAATGAAATCTTAATGTGGTATAAGGTTAAAATTCTATAGTATTTCAAATTTTTTAAAAGCAAGGAAAGCAGGCTAGTTATTCATTCCAGCAATTATCCAAATGTCTGCCAACCTCTAACCTCTAAATGTTGACTTTAGTCAAAGACATTCTAGGTTAGATAACTAAGTAACTATCAGGAAGGGAGTTTTGTTTGTTTGTTTGCTTGGCAACTGAAAAGAAATGAAGATCAAGGAAGCAGCCTTGCCTGGAGTTTTTAATGAATGTGAGACAAGCTCTACCAAAGGCAATTATTAAACCATCCCCCAAAGTTGTTTGTTCCACTTACAAATGCAGTCCTGATTCCATAAGACCTCTAGGTGTAAAACATCATCAGCAGCCTTCTTGCCAGCCTCACCTGTTGAAATATTAAAAAGGAAGAATAAAACACCAATATGTACAAACCCAGGGGCAGACAAAGCAAAATATGCTCAAGGCTGTAAGAAATTAATTTTTCAAATTCAATAAATAAAACTTCATTGCATACGTATGTTAAACTGCTTAAAATTAAAATTCAAGAATACTTATATTTTGTACTGCTCTTGAAATACTTTACCCTCTCCAGGCTGACTCACCTAATAAAGTCCACATTTAAAACTTATGTTTTGCTGCAGGTGAAATGCCAGTAAATAATAACAACAAAAAGGGAAGAAAAGACTAATGGAGCCAGGTGACACAGATCACTTTATCACCAGCCCAAGTTTGCTTCTGCACAGTCCTATTTTCCAGATAATGTAATCGTGAACAAATTTGCAGAAACTGAAAATAGAACATTAGGAGAAAAAAAGAACACTTAAGTACATAAATGTGTGTTAATTCCAAATATGTATATACTTGCATAATAATTGAAAGTTGTTTTCTGAAAGATGTGAAAGCATGTCCTTTCAACAGCCGCAACTAGCTTGTTAATCAATTTTTACAAGCTTTGTCTGAGAGAGTTAATTTTTCAAAACGATGTCACTAATTTCACATTGTGCTTCCTGAATAAACTCATTAGCTTCACTGTAAGTCTTAGTTTCTATTTGCCAAAATTACCTGCTCAAAAGTGACAAATGCAGTAGGGAGAAAAAATAAAGCCTGTTGTTTTACTGACTCTGAATTCCTTTTGAAAACTTAATCACTTAGTTTCTGAGTTTAGACCCAACTCTAAGGTCATCTTGCAGATTCAGTTCTCATTTTTTCCTCCCCTCTCACCACAGAAATTGGAAGAACTAGGGTCATGTACCCTCCGTTCCACTTTGCAAGGATGGATATGTGAGAACACTAAGTGAGCAGGACAGCGATGAAATGGTTATACCGTATGATGTCTTTAAGGCTAATTTGTCATGGACTTAAGAAAGGTGAAGAAGAAAAATTGTTTTTCAAACTCATCACTATTGATATCTTGAGAGGAGAATTCTTTGTTAGAGGAGAGAGGAATTGTCCTGTGCTTTGTAGAATGTTTATCAGCATTCCTGATCTCTGTCCACAAAATGCCAGTAATACCACCCTACTAGCTGTGACAACCAAAAATATCTGCTAACATTGGCAAGCTTTCCATTGGTGACAGAACTTTCATACCAAGATACATTTATAATATATGTAGGTAAAGCATCAAAAATATTGCAAAATCATCAATTACTATAATCACGGAGGACTGGTTAAATTGAGGTAGCCATTGTGAATTATGGTAGGCAAAAAAAAAAAAAAAACCCACAATTACTGAATCATGCCTACAAATTTGTTTAAGCTTATGAATTGGGTCCTAGTTTCATAAGATCTCTGGGGAGTCACGACCCTTTTATTAGGTGAAAACACATAACAGCACCTTTAAATGTCAAGTCTGCAAGTTCATATAGAGAGTGAAATCTGAGAATTTCAGAGTTGAAAGGAAACTTGGAGAATATCTATACAAACATTGTCTTTTACTGATGGACATTAAGT